AGAATTGAGCGTTGGAGTACTGGATGTGCTATAGGCTAAGGCATTTTTATTTTTAGTTAAGCTAGAAACGGGGGTAGGGATCTTTATTTGACCTAAACTTGTGCATGTACCAAGTGTGCTTAGTGGATGCGGGCGAACTAGACTGTTCCTACATTCATGCAAAGGGGGAGCCAGCACTAGCAGTTTAGGAGTGTTAGCATCCCTACCAGCTGTTTTTTCAACGCTGACAGGGACGCAGGGGATAAAAAATGATTGGGACCTTGTGAAGACCATGGTTTATTATTCCACCTATTGTTAGGTACTAGTGGTGTCCTTGTAAGGGTTTCGTATGTACTGCTTTGTGGGTTAGTTCCCAGCAGACTTGTACCGTATATCCGATCAAAATTTATTTGCGTGCCATACTGTGAATGCCCTGAGTTGTTGGTGATCGAGTTCTGACTATTGTCACTTGTACTCTTGAGGGTGGCATTGTTTTGGCGTTGGTTATCAGTGTGGGCCATGGTGCTATTTCGCACGTTGTGGGTGGCAATACTATTGACCGTGGGGAATGTGGGCTTACTTATACCGCCATTGTTGTTGTTGGCATGATTTGGGGTCATATTCTTCTCTTTTTTACCAATGCACTTATGGCTAGGAGAGGACAGGGTCAACTTTCGGGGGATTTTGACTTTTTTCTTGGATTATTTAGTGACATGTCTAAATCTACGGTGGTAGGTGGTATAGTTTTATTGGCTATTTGATTACAATTTAGCGGCCTTTCGGTTGGTGTCGCTGTCTGAGAAGATAATTCTGTGTGATTAGAGAGGGGTGGTGCGGTGGATTCTACGGTGTCTCTCAAAGGGTTGGGTATAATTGCTGCTTGCAATGTCCTATTGTTTATTCCACAATTAGACTCAGTGTGATAATTATATACGCGCCTTTCTATGACGGTCTTGTCCACCGCAACCTTTATTAGTTTGTAATTTCTGGCTTGCGATAGGGTGTGTTGGGAGTGGGTAAATTTTCTGGCCTCAGCCGGTGTTTCGAACTGAAAACGAATAGGACAACACTTGTCATGTTGACTCTTCTTCAGCCTGTAGCACTTAGTCTTGGAGTTGGGCATTTTCGCCTCACTAAGTAAGATGCGCTGTACCTTTTTTAGTGCCTCATTGTCCGGAACGTTGTAGACAATAGCATTTAATTTAGCATCTAGTCGTTTTGTTACTTCTGTAGTAACAAAGTTAATTAGGTTATCCACCTTAGATATCGATTCACTGTCAAGTTTGTTAAGGTCTACAGTTTTCATGATAATAGTTAAAGGTGTCAGTTCACAGACCTGCAGTCTGATATCACTGATCTGACCTGATAAATTGGAGATTTTGGTATTGGTATCGGAGATTCCAGGATCTACTGACTTATTGTTTTTTAAGTCCCTTAACTCGGCCTTAAGTTCTCCTATAGACAACTTTAGAAGTTCTATTTCTGAAGATAGTACTGAAACAGAGCTTGAAGGCTGGAGCTTTTCGATAAGCACATAAGGTGTAGGGAGGGTTTCTGTATGAGCAGAGGGTACTGAATTTTTGGGAGTAGTGCTAATACTAGCTGTCAGTATAGTTTTATCCTCAGTTTCAGCTCGACGCTTACGAAATACAAGTGAGTTTTGTGGCTCACTATAACCATTTGTAGGAAGTATGTTGCTTGATGTAGCAATCAACGACTTAAAATTAGTCATCAGTTTTACAGGGGATTGAGTTCGCTGCTTTTTACTTTGGTTAACCATAAGTATTTGATATGAGAGTTAATAGTTATAGGTATGGAAGTAGTAGAGTACTTGTGCAAGGATTACAACAAGATAAATTTTATGTAACGAATCACGCAAAAATGTAACGCAAACGTTGGACGTACCGCGTCCACGTAAGCTAGTCGTTGTTCTCTACTTCGATATATCTAGGGCATTTGACATGTTATCTTACAGTACTCTCTTTCAGAATCTGTACTCATGTGGAATCCGCAATCCATTAATGAACTAGTTAAAATCGTTTCTAAGCAGCAGAGTACAAATAACCAAATTTGGGTCAGTGTTGTCTCATCCTAGGCAGATCTCAAGTGGGGTTGCGCAACGTAGTGTCCTAGGGCCACTTTTATTTACAGTCTGCATTAACAGCATTTGCAAATGCTTCACCTCAGGCAAACTATTCATACATGCTGACGACCTCAAAGTCGTTTACTCCTGCTACACCCATGAATTAAGCCATATGGTAAGTAAAATACATCTTGAACTAAATGGTCCTGCAACATGGTGTACTGAATCCCCTCTAAAGTTCAACATTGACAAATGCGGCTGGATTTGTATCGGCAACAGTAACTTTCACCAAACTCTTGAAATAAATGGGCGAAAACTAGCCAAGCTCAACTCAGTCGTAGATCTCGGTATCAGATACTCTAGTAACTTAACATTCTCTGAACAAACTGATTATGCCAGACGTAAAACACGAAGGCTCCTAGGATGCATAACCCGCAAATTCTTCTGTTGTGAAACTAGGGTTTTATTATACAAAGTATGTGTCCAACCTATTCTAGAATACTGCCCGTTTATTCTTAGCGGACTGCGACAGAATGACAAGCTTAAATTAGAGGGAGTGCAACGGCAATTTACCTCAAGAACTCTTGGTTTAGAAAGTGGTCTCGAATGCTATGAGCGTTGCGACAGACTAAGTTTAGAACCACTCTGTAAAAGACGTCTTAAGCTAAACCTAATTTTTTACTACAAGCTAACTAATCTGCTCGTGCACTCCTCCGAGCCGATAACTAAACCTACCGCTGTCATCAGTTTCAGTCTTAGAAATCATCACAACCTAGCTGCTATAGAGCATTGTCAGACTTACATGCGGTACAACTTCTTCTTAAATAAGTTTTCAGTCATTTGGAATAGACTACCAGGTGATGTGCGTGATGCAAACACACTTCCAGTGTTCACCTTCTCAGTCACCAGACTGTTCAGAAATGACAATGCACATCTGCGTCTGACTCTTACACCCTCTTTTCCACCCTACATGGATATTTTAAGTTCATTAGACGTGTAAGTTACAACAAACTACAACCATAAATTTTAATATTATTAATATTTTAATATTATTAACGGGACTAGTTATTTAGTGTACCAAAATAATCATAGTTACTACACAGAATACTTATATATATATACGCATATAAATTTATTAATCAGTCATTGAGGACTCCCCTTGCTTTCTTTTGTGTCGTTATCATTTGTCTTCTTTTTTCTCTCATTTTGGCTTCTTTAACCTTTTGAATGAGAATGAAGAATGTAGATATTTGACCACTCACAATGACAAATGATCTGCAAACATTATTGATCCCATATGTTTCAGTTGCCTCGTGAATTACACCTTGCCTTCCCCCACGACGCAACCTGGATTAAAGTTGTGGAATATAGCTTTATACCAACGAAAAAGTATTAGTTTATAATACTTCGCGATTGTAATTTATAACATAAGTGTTCGTGCCTGTAAGAAAACATAAACTATCATTATTATTAGTCTACATTGAGTACTATTCACTTGTGATGTTACGACGAAAATGCTGACAAAACCATACAAGTGTATCACTTATTTTAAATTATTACCAAATTTGAATATAAATCAAGAATAAGACTCGATGCTGTACACACCAAAGTTATATGGGGGAATTACTTCAAGCTACATTTTTTTCCCAAGTATTTGTAATCCATCCAAAACATACTTGGGTTTTTTTTGTTAATGCGAAGACAATATTTCTATATTTCTTGATGTGCTCCATTGAATGACCAGTTATCACACTGTTCCCACAAACCGAAGACAAAAACTGCAGCAACCATGTAATGTAAATAATACTTATGCATGCCTGTACAACTGGTGTGTCCTACATAGATAGGAATGAATATATATTATATCAGACTCCTAACAACCTTTACTAGAATCATCAGAGATATGTTCACCTTATACACATCTCTGGCGAGGTCAAGACTAGAAAACTGTATCCAGGCAGCCAGTCCTTCTCGTGAAGAGGACTCACACATTCTAGTAAGGGTTCTCGGTATAACTAACTTATCGTACGAGGAAAGACTAGACAGTTGAAATCTCTTCTCCCTGTCATACCGTAGGCAGAGAGGAGATTTAATCAAGGTGTTTAAAATTTTAAATAGTGACTACGGACCTGACCTATTCTCTCTTTTTCTTCCCATCAGGTGTTCAGAATACCCTGGAGGACATAGCAGGATAGTTCAAAAGCCAAGAAGTAACCATATTGCTGTCGACTACTGGTTTTCACACCGAGTCATGAACTCCTGGAACCAACTCCCAGAAGAAGTGGTGTCTGCAATCTCAACTGATTAATTCAAGAAGGGTTTGGACAAGCACAGAAATTTACTAGAAAAAGAGTGACATAGGCTCCAGGCCTTTTATCCTCAACCAATAAATCTAAATCTGAAATCCAAAATCTGTTTCTTAATCTGAATAACCTACATAATTCTATCTGTTATAATTATTATCTATTTCCTTTCAATGACAAAACCTTGTGACTAAATGGTGAAAGGATCAACTTCATTCACAATAGCAACAAAGTCTAACACACCGTATACTACAAACAACATTTAATTAATCCACGCACTACTCCTTTTATTTATTTATTTTATTTATTTTGATTTACAGCTTGATTCCACACCGTATTTTCAGTACAAGTGTGGAATTTTCAGCATGGATATCGGTAGCCCAAATTCAGGCTGACCATAGATATCGGGTGTGCGTCGGCAGGGGATCGAACCCCGGACCATGTGTATGGTCGGCGAGAGTCCTAACCACTGTGCCACCGACGCCACCAAAGCTATTACAGTCGAGCGACGGGACTAACTACGCAGAAGTTTAAGGAAGACCAGGAACCTCTATCTCATAATGAAGAAGCGTGCACAAAAAATCAAATTGGTTTACACCAGCTCGTAAAAACGATATTGGATATTGGATGACCTAGATGCTTATTCAATGCTTCCGCTACGGTGGTGTGCACCCTTAATCTATAGGAAATCAGTTGTTTTTCGGTTACTAAGTTCTGTTGGCTCTCAGCAAAGAAAATGGTACTTCTCTGTTTCACTCACATTTTAATTAAGACAAAGCGTAAATGTCACATTTGCTTGGAAAAACGGAAGTCAGAAAACAGTTCCTGCTAAAATTGGTGACACCTTTTTGGATGTAGTTTTAGATAATGATGTTGATATTGACGGGTTCGGTATGCTTCTATGTGTGGATTATTATGGTTTTAGGTGCATGTGAGGGTACCCTGGCCTGTTCAACGTGCCATCTCATATTCCCAAAGGAGCACTACGACAAGCTACATGATCCTTTAACTGACGAAGAACAAGATTTGCTAGATTTAGCCTACAGCCTAACAGAAACGTAAGCTCCACCTACTTTATATATCTACAGTTTATCACGGATTAACTAGTTTATTCCATCAGGTCATAAAGTATAGTGTAGTTTTGGTGTCAGTGACTGACTACTCTGACTCATGTTATTTGTTCTTGTGGATTCTGTTATCAAAACAGATTAAAGGTACCCGTCACATTATATGATAATGATAATTTTCTAAGAAGCGGAATACATTGGTCATCAAACGATATTTTATCATATAATGTGTTGATTATTAGGCCATCTCAGCAGGAGCACAGTTTACTAAACTTCACTTAGTGTTCTTTTGTATTGGCTATAAATTATACGTTATGACTTATGTTAGTTAAACACAGGTTTCTATACAGCACCTATTACTCTAAATTTAGACGACTCAAAGCGGATTAACTTTAGGTTTTTGAAACTATGCTTATCTTGATTATAATCTTGTAACAACAGAGCGAGACACGAGAGCCAAGGTATTCTGTCTCTAACATAAAACAGAATGTTCAAATAGATATAATGTATGCAGTATTGAACTGTGGGAGTAAGATTCCAACTCCAAAAATCAAATAGAATGTTCAAATAGATTTATTGTATACTGTTGTTAATGCCGAATTGAATTATGGGAACGTTTGAGAATAACATTCCGTTGGCACACATTGTCTGTATCACATCACCACAACCACTTTATACTCAAATAGTCATAAATTTTGCTCTAAAAGCCAATAACAGGGTTTTAAATAGGCGACTCATCTGTTACTGTTTTTGTTTAGTTCCCGACTTGGTTGTCAAATCAAAGTGTCAGAAGATATGGATGGTCTAGTTGTAAACGTTCCAGAGTCGATTTATGATGCCCGTAATTAATATCACACCTGATTCATCCATCTTTGTGTTTCAAACGGTGTCACGTAAGTCTTAAAGTGTTACTCAATGTGTTATTTTGTATATCTCATATACTGACATAAATTCATAAGAAGTGAGTAATGACTACAGAATATTCTGTTCTTTAGTCATATAGTTCCTCAAATATGGGCTATCTTTTTTGTTTCCCTAACAACCATCACTAGTGGGACCTCATCTTATCTTTTTTATCAAAGGAGTTAGTGTCTTCTATACGTATACTGGGATTTCTACAAAAATAACTTTGTACTTTTTACTCGATCTTAGCACCCAATATTGAGTGACCATTAAGTTACACCTTGATTGAAGTTCATACAAATGCTTACTCAGTGTCTTAAGATATCACAAGATAAACTGATACATTTGTGTGCCGAAGTCTTCGATAGGTCTGTCTGATTCAGTGTTACCATCTGAGTCACCTTTGTTCGAGTTTATATGTATGCTTCTTTCTACCAACTTGACATTACTTGTTTAACTTCAAACCAAGTGTCGTTCATAGCCTGGAACATAGAAAAATTCATTCTAGGTAACTGAGTTCTCGCTAACATAGCCTAGTGTTATGTTTCAGTTTATAAAAATGTGGTAATGTCTAAATTTGTGTAGGGCTTAAAGTTATAAATTTATTAAGTTGTACACATTGTATATTTAAATGGTCTGTTTTAAGTTCATCATAGAAACAAGGGTTTCTGAATGTTTTCCTACTCATTTGATTCCAACACCAACCGTAATACATGTAGTGCCATCTTGAGTGCAGCAGCTTTACGTTGCCCTTAACAAATCCTCCCCCCCGCCGACATCCCAAAATTAAATTCACTTGACTGAACTTTTTGACCTCTGTGACATAACCATCCACCTATTTCAGAGTGTATTTTAATTACCATATAAACATTTAAGTAGATGTATTAGGTGTGCTGTCTCACGAAGTATTGCTATGGTAGCACTGCGATTGTGTAATAGTAAAACGAGTGAAGTCGGTACAGCTCTTTGCAAACCACTGACCAGGGGGGCTTCGTGTGCTTTTGGAAGTGCGTGAGCGGTTGTTACTTCGGGCCGCCCACAGGGTGAAAGTTGACTTATATTTTGGGGAACCTGAAACAGAAAAAGAATTGGTGTTGCGTGACCGCAGAGCCCAAAAGACAACTGCTTGAGGCCGGTTACACAGCCTGTATGAACTGGCTTTTTGGTTTGGTTCCGTATTATTAACTTACCGCTGGTTACGGACCACCGTAGGGTAAGTCTGGATGTACAGTATTTGGAGTCGACCTTTTCTAAACCCCTCTCCAGAGTGGAGAGACAGCATATATGCTGGTCATCTGAGGGAAACACCTTACTGCTGTCACATCCCTATTCCCCAACAGTACGACTTTGCCCACAGACCCCCATCATAGTCTAACGGCTATCCTAACAATCTTCCTGGCATGGTAGGACCTGCAGAAACATTAGTTCCAACCAGTGTAGCTTGTTGTGTCATTATGATATGCAAGCCGCACCACCACGCCGAGGTAGCAGCTATAGGTCGGGCCTACGTAGGGTTGTCATCTGAAGTGGTGACAACCAGTGGTGTCCGTCAGGGATGCCCACTGCCCCCATTTTTGTTTAATTTCATCATAGATGTACTCATGGACTTAACCCCAACTGACCTCAGAGGCTTAGATTGACTTACAACCAACCAAGGAATAATCTCGTTGACTTAGAATATTCAGATGATATAGTCCTCCATCCCAAGTCTTCTGAACACCTTGAGGAGCAGTAATCTTATAATGTTTGGCATGCGATTCCCTCTCGTCAAATGTAAGGTGATGCTAAAGGACTGGACTGGACTACGTTGACTCCTAGCTTAAAGATAGCGACGGAGTGACGTGGTATAGCGTGTTGACCACTTCTCTTATTTGGAAAGTTGCATCAGCCATCCACAGCGTGTTGATCGCTGACGAGAATTTAGCGTGGGTAAAAAAGTTTCGTTTGGCATTTTCCAACTTACACAATCTCTGGCTTAGTAAACGTGATATCCGGTTGGCTGACTATCGACCAAAGGACGTGTATACTGCTCAGCAGTTCTCTCCGTCCTCGTTTATGACCGTGAGACATGGTCATTAAAGGTGGGAGATATGAAAATGATAGCTATCTCTGATCACAGGTGTCTGCGTTCTATCTCTAGTGTTAGGTGATATAAAAGGGTAAGTAATATTGAGGTTAGGCGTCGAGTGCTAGGTAAGGAGGGGGAAATTAATCGACAAGTTTGTAAAGTTACACCGATTGAGATGGTTATGACATATGCTACGCATGTCTAGCCACTGCGTTCCTCAACGGTCAATGTTAGCCGACATAGATCAGGTTGGAAAATAGCCAGTGGTGGTTAAAGCAAAGCATGGCTTCATCAGTCAATGAAATCCACAACAGTTAGTGTAAGACAGGTAGTCAAGTAGGGAGGTGTAGACACCTGGCTGGTTGTTGTCCTCGGGATGGTAAAAACCAGTAACGGTGGGAGACAATTGGTGATATGGCTCAAAACCGTTCTCAATGGCTGACTCATATGCATTCACTCTTTGTGATCTATCATATCCAATAAACACCTTCCACGTTACTGTTCTTTCTCCCTCAATTTCATGCTTCTAGTAGGCATAATTTCTCATTCATATACAAATTTTCCTCACCATAAGTTTTGTTAATTATGTCTCATCTCCTTATTTTACCATTTTTGTACTTTCCCTTTACAGATATATATCAATAGTTATTCAACAGCGATATCAGTCTGTCTCCTAGGATTCTGCACCCAATATATGCACCACATGTATACAATTAAAAGAAACTTAGAAATGCTTACAAACTTTAATGATCTTCACCTTTTCTGATAATTTTACTGTAAGATATGTTTCCACGAACTCGTATGTTGTATTGATCTGTTTAGATACTTTGCAGTTTTCCCCTACTTTCCTGATTAGTTTAGTTTGAAAGGACATTTCTCAGGAAAAATTTCAATAGCAATAAACAATTATGTACAGTGATCGAACAATAAAAAATGTTTAACAGACAAACTTCATTTTGATTTTTTTTCTTTTCTTCTTCCACGTGAAGTTCACAATTTGTTTGTTCGTTTTACTGCGTACATTATAATTTTGATATTTACGTATACAGGTAGTTTTTTTCCTAGACTGGATGAGCTGTGGTGGTCTGTTATGCGCAATACATCATTGTGTTTAATTCCATTATAAATAAAATTTTATCTTGATAAAGTCACACAGTAATATTTACTGATGACCACGTTTTGAGCACAGTTTATTGTTAGTCAATAAGATGGGAAATGAGATGTTTTTTATATTAAAATAAATAACTTGTTAGAATGTTATTATGTGAATTGAAATTCGTTTCAACACCATTTATTATCCTCTGATTTGACTAGTAATAATATCTTCCATATCTGTGGTATTTGCGTTAAGTCACTTCTATTGCATGTGTTGGGTGTAGACTGGATGAACCATGTCGTAACACACAGCCACACAATACTGTAGTTATATGTTAAGGCATGCAGTGAAATTGCTGAGTAAATTACTTATCTTCGTGGGATCAGTCATTCTAACCCTAGCTAAATTCTCATCTTCTGATAATCTCACTACTCCAGATCTACTAGTTTGACCTATGTAGTTGACTTAACTGATTCACAGCCATTGCAAGGTATTTTTTAAATTATATTATTTTGTTTAATTGGGTCCACCGGATCCTTTAACCTACAGAGCTTCTCCTACCTGAGTAAGTTTGTAGGTTTGAATGTTACCCTAATTCCGGCTGTATTGAGAATCCTACGTAGGGTTTCAGATGTCCCCTCCTTATATGGTAAAACTACTGCCATATACTCTTGCTTATTTATGTTATCATTATTAGTTTCACTATTATCTTTATTTTTCTTTTGAATATTTTTGATATTCCTAATGAATTTTATAGGATAGTTATTTGATACCAACCAGCTATTCTCCCATCTGTTTCATTTCATCATTTCGGTTTTTTGATGTACTACTAAGTGCTATTGCCTGGCTTGTTAGACACACTTAATTAAGCCTGCTTTAACAGATGACGATGGATTAGATGAATTAAAGTCTAAATATCTATTAAGGGTTTGCGGTTTCTGTTTATAAACACTAGTGTGCAGTTTGCCTTCTTCTGTTCGTTTTATTTTACAATCTAACATCACAGCTAATTCTCCTTGTTCATTTTCCGCTTCAAATATGAATTTTATTCCATCTCCTAGTAAGTTTATATGTGTGACATAATTATGAGCAATAAACTGTGCTTGACACGTGGTAATCAGTAAATATGACTGTATAACACTGTATGACCTTATCAAAATAAAATTTTATTCATAATGGAACTATACTCGACCACACTGGCCAAGTTTTTTCCTTATATTATTGTATTTATCAGATAGCATGGCAGTTACTGGATACAAATTGTCGTATTCATTTGTAATATGCTTTAAGAAAAGTTATGATATTGATATCAAACACATTTTGACTGTGTTCATATGCTGAATAAATATAGTGTGATAAATACTTGAGCTAACTAACTAACAAGGGTGCTTATTATCACCAATGATATTCCTAATTGTGGTGGACTGGATTATGCCTCAGACAGTGGGAAACGAGAAGATAGCGATATCCTGGACCGACGTAAAGAACCTGGAAGATCTAGATTTCGCGCGTGGATGATTTATGTTTGATGTCACACAAAATCGAAGACTTACAAGCGAAAACCGACAAACTGGTCGAAGAAGCAGCAAAGACAGGACTGACTCCAGGTGAACATAGACAAGACGGAGGTTATGAAAATAACCAACCAACAACAGCAGCAGCAACATCCAGCGCCAATCACCATCAACGGGAGGGATTTGAAAGAGGTTACTTCATTCACTTATCTAGGGAGCATTGTCTCAACTACAGGAGGAACAGACGAGGATGTCAAATCGAGAATCGGGAAGGCGAGAAACACATTCATCAACCTGAAACCAATCTGGAAATCTTCGTCACTCAGCGTCAACAACAAAATTATTCGGATTTTCAATACAAACATCAAGTCAGTTTTGCTGTACGGATCGTAAACTTGGCGGGTCACAAAGAATATTTCCAACAGCCTGTTGCAGACCTTTATCAACAACTGTCTTCGTTCTATACTGAAGATCAGATGGCCGGAAAGAACAAGAACCAACAAGAAACTATGGGAACAAACAAAACAAGAACCAATCGCTCAACAAATATGCAGGAGAAAGTGGAGATGGATTGGACACTCGCTGAGGAGGCCGCTGGGTGACATCGCGCGTCAGGCCAATGCTCGAGTGGAACCCAGAAGGGAAGCGGCGAGTGGAACGTCGGTGCAAGGGTGACATGGAGGAGATCGTGTGAAGAGGAACTGAAAGAGTATGGATTAACATGGATGCAGGTGAAAAGTACAGCAGAAGGTAGAAGCAAGTGGAGACGTGCAGGTGAAGCCCTATGTTCCACTAGGAACCCAAGGGAACAGTAATAATAATAATAAACTAATTAACATGGACCTGTAGGAGGTAGCTCCGTCAGACTAGCGGAGTACTTCTACTAACCTAGATTCTAATGTCTGACTGGGTTTCAACAGAGAGCTTTGCACAGTAGTAAAAATCGTCACACTGCATGCAGCCTACAAAGGCAGAGGAAAAAAAGAAGGCCTAGTGTGACAGAACCTTACAGATCAACTTCATACAATGATGGGAGGTGCTTTTTTGAACTGTGAACTTTTGAAGGTGCCTAAAGTTGCACCGTAGTTTCTTATTACTGGTTGGTGGTTGGAAGATGTCAAGAAATTTTCGCATTTTTGACTAGTATGTTTGTCCCAAAATCAAATGAATTAAAGCTCTGGAACCTAACTAAATATTCCATGAAAAGAGTTAATCGGTAACATTAACATTGTAGATTGAAGAAGATGACGAATACAACAAACTGATGGAAATTGACTCTGAACTTTATAAACTAAAGTGAGTTTTGAGAAGGCCTAAGTGTCTAGTAAGCAGGGATTCAAGATCAGACGAACCTTTTATCTCCGTACAGTGAAAAATGCCTTTAAATCTTATTATCGATCGTTTATTAAAAAGAAACAGTTCCATTATATGAAACGTGCTTGTGGTTGTCGTGTAAAGTGTGTTTTACCACTGGCACAATCCTTTTGAAGGAAGGTTTTATAAGAACTACATATATCTTTCCAATAACAAGCCTAAACAGATCAGTAGATGTGCTACAACACAATGTGAGATGATTTTATTTAGTTTGTACTTCCCCATTGATTGATTGGACCGAAGTGGTCGGCCTCAGGTTAACATGTGTAAGCTCCTTGTGTACATGCTTCGATAATGTCTGATTATTCAACTTAAAGTAAATTGGTGGATGGTGACTATCAGTAGAATCTAGGATGCTGCATATCTTGTCCTATTTGGGACTTGGATGTACCCACATTTCATCACTCACTGGGAATGTAGGTACATCCAGGTAGTTGACGAATCCCGAACGGGACGAAATACGCATTATCCTGAACTCCACTACTAGTCACCATCCACCAGTTTGCTACAACCTGAGATGATTTATTTTTTGACAGTTTGTATATGTTAAACCAATGTCTTCTATTCTGTTGAATTGTAATTTTTCTCTTAATATTTGTGATTTCCAGACTTCAGCAAAACTACGCAAGTTATCTAAACCTCCTTTCGTTATACCCAACAAATCAGAACTCGAACTTGCGGATACTAGTAATGCCAATAATAATAATAATGACGACCAAAACAACGTAAATAAGATACGTAAAAATAAAAATCTTATTAAACTTAAAAAGTATAAAAAGCGTCAATTAAAGAAAAAATATTCACGTAAACAGCTGCATGCGAGGAAATTACTACAACAAAATGAAGGGAATACTAAATCAGCGAATCATGCTCAAGAAGAGGCTTTAAATTATTTACGAATGTGGCACGATGATTATAACAATTGGAAGTTTAAAACACTTGAACAGTCTTGGTTGATTAAAAATGCATTAAATAAAAAGATGGTGAGTATTTCGTTTTTTTGTGATGTTTCTTCACAGTTGCTAGTGCAGTTATGTACTATTATTATTATTTTATTATTATTCCCTTGCGTTCCGAGTGAAACATAGGGATTCAACAACACATCTCCACCTCTATTTTACAGCGTCCTTTTCAGCTGGGTTCACGATTGCCTATAATCTCTCATTTCTTCCTCCCCCGCTCCAACACAGCATCTCCTCCATGTCACCCTCACACTGAGCACCCACTCGGACTCCACTCAAGCGATGGTCTGCATTGAGCGCGATTTCACACGATGACCTCCTTAACGTTTGTCCGATCCATCTCCATTTTCTCCTACATATTTGTTGAGCAGTTGGCTCTTGGATGGTTTGTCTCCAGTCAGACTTTCTTGTTGCTAATTCTTTCTGGCTGGCCGGCCATTTGATCTTCAGTATGGAACCGGCAAAGGCAGCTGTTGATGAACGTATGCAACAGGCTGTTGGGAATCCTTTTCGTGACACATCAAGTTTCTGACCTGTACTCATGTATTACAGACGCATTATTATTACTATTATGTTTTCCCATTCCTGTCGTTCCCAGTGGAGTGAGTATATGGCTTCAGAAACACACCACTATTGCACTGAGTTCTCTGAAATCACTTTTGACCCATAAACTTTCATATAAGTAACAAATAATCTCCCTATATCACCGCCGAACACCCAACCCGTAACTTCAAATTTGGGTTCCTCTTTAGGGTGCTGTATTTCATGTGGCTTAAAGGTTTTTTCAGTATGTCTAATATATTAACTTCTGAAAATCTGTCGGCAATATTTCCTTGATACATTAATCCCCCCCCTATGAATTTGAATAGAGCAAGAACAACAGTGGGTTTGTGTAGAATAAGATGATGGTGCCATCACTGTTTATTTCGTTGGCTTCTAATCCCAACTGCTTACAGCCTAACGAAATTATCAGTAAGTTTATGTACAGAAACAATTTTACCATACTTACTCCAGGGAGTTCAAGTTTAAACAAAAAGTCAGTGTATGCATGAAATGGTAATAATAATAATCACTTTATTCCAAACAATAAGAATCATACAGAATGGAATTTCCAGAGTTAAAGATTACTTAATCGAATGGAAGAGAGGATAAAGAAATACAGTTACCAGGGGAAGAACAGACTGGTGACTGCTTCCTCCTGAACACATAAATTGGGTTTTAGGCGCTTGATAGAGATTGCTTTGGCACACCTGAGGAGCAATGAGCTATTTCGTCTACTGATAATTTTAAAGTGGCTGTATAAGGGGTGCGATAATCGAACATCTTGTCAACAATGGTCATTCTGTTTCAACAAACGCCTCCTCCTTTAAAGTGATCTACAAGTTGAAAAACAACCTACCATAGGCAATACGGTTTCCTCTTCTCTGTATTGCTGAATCCTTAGCCATTTAGTTGTAGAAACCATATTTATGTGTCGGAAAGAAAACCATCTAACCACTTTTACTATCATAGTAACAACCTTGTTGACTTCTACTGTCCTGATGTGTTGTGTGCTTGCTTTCCTAAATCCTTATAACATTTGTGATTTTTATAACTGCTACATAATTCCATATCTTCCTTTGTTTCTATGTGCATCCTAATCACACCTCACTCATTAGACTATTCATCTTATTACGCAACTGTATTTCGCTTATTCAACTTATCTTCATAGAGAAAACGAGAACTATGCTGTCCTGTGTGCGTCGGTGGCATAGCGGTTAGGACGCTCGCCGACCATGCACATGTTCCAGGGTTCGATCCCCGTCCGACGCACTCCTTTACCTCGCTAAGCCAGAAATAATGCTGGTACAGAGGAAAGGTTGAGCATGAGGCTAGCAACCCCATCCTGTAAAATAAACACTGCTACAGAAACTTCAAGCCACTAGCTTGAAGCCCTATGTTCCACAGGGGAACGTTAAGGAAAAAAGAAAATGCTGTCCTGTAAACCCTCACAGTATCCGAACGATAGCGTCACATCCCATTGTGTTTATCAATTTACATGTATGTGTGGACACACGTTCACAGGGAGGACTCATCGGTCTCTGCAGGCGGCTGTAACAGCAAATAAAATCGCCAGACACAATTGATCACGGAAATAGATGTCCAACATCGTATATAGCTAAGCGCATTATAGAGACGGGTCGTAATGTTGATTTCAACAGTGCCTTTAAGCCCATATATAAAACAAGTTTGGGTCATATGCTTAAATTCGTTGAAGCCTTAGCCATAAAAAGACTTAAACCTGTCTCCTATGTGTCCAAAAGTTATCTGTTATTACTTTAAACTTGCCTTGGTAATCCAATTTCGAACCAAAGATCATTTTACTTCATAATATTTTCAAACCTTTTCTTTGATTTGTTTCCTCCATCTTACCCACACCTCTGCGTCATCTCTTTACCCATTATTTGTGACCTTGACCCGTACACAATCTGACCTGTATTGTAATCATTCATGCCTTCTATAAAACTGTATGACACGTACGTACGTGTGTGATCAGAATGTCCGAAATGTGTTGCACAAATACATTGCACGTTTCAGATAAACTACGTCTTCTTATTGTGTTGTCGATATTCAACTTCTTTTATGTGTTGATTAACATTAATAACTATAAAAGAAAAGAAGGCGTTCAGCGAAGAGACTCTTTTCGGCGAATTCATTCACTGAGCTGGACAATCGCATTTATATACAATTTTGTTTGTGTGTGTGTACATTAGATTTATAAAGTTTAGATAATTATGTAATATAAGTATTATTTGGCTTGGAGACTAACGTTAAGATAGAAAATAAAATAGAATTGATTAAGTGAATTGGATGATGTAATACAGTTGAGTAGAATTCAGATTAGGTCAGGTTGGCAACAGTGTTAATGAGTGGTGTTTAAAAGCAAATAAGGGTGGGGTTAGAGAACAATACAGTTAGTAACATCGTTAATGAGGGTAGAGATTACAAAAGGGTGAGGTAGAGAATAATACAAATGAAGATGTGGAATAATAAAATGCAAAAGACAAAATAATACAATTACTAAGACTGAAATTAAGAAAGATTACGTCCATTGTAGATTTAATGAATGAACGAATTTCTTTTGTATGCAGAGTTCAGGATTTAGCAGATGAATTGCCATTGCTTCTGCGATGTGGAGAAGTTTGATCCGTACACTTTTAGCAAGATTGCCTCGTATTCTGTAGATAACTTTGAAGTTTATTTCTGGTTTAACTTGGTGTTCAGAGCGGATCAAATGTTCAAGGATCGAGCTGCGGGGGCACCGGTTTTCTCCTTCATAAAACCATGAAGGTAAATGTTCGCTGACGCGTTTGGATAGCGAACCCGATATACCTGGCTCCACACGAGCAGGTGAATTGGTGGATGCACATAGATGAGGCCAGCAGCGGTAGCTTATCCTTCACGTTCATACGAATCATTGGTCTCGTGGAGAACGTCAGTCATAATTCAGCTGCAAAGAAGGTTTTCTTCAATGAGCGGGAGAGCCGATTTCTCAGTATTTCTGTAGATTGGTCTCCATTGAACTGTAGGTTCACATAGAGAAGTCTTTTTGGAGCACTTGGTGTGGGCTATGTTTTTTTGACAACACATCACCGCTACCCTCTTTACCGATCTTCACCCCCCCTAGGTACAGTTGGTTTATCAATCATATTTTTCAAATATCTTGACAACAATAACCCTAACTTATTTTTATTCTTACCGGACAAACCTGCTGTACACACACATACAAAACTAAGCGTATACAAATGCGATTGTACAGCTAAGACAATTAATTCGCCGAAAAGAGACTCTTCACTGAACTACGTGTTTTGTTTTCATTAATTTTAAAGGATTTTGACATGTCCACATCATGACCCGTATTGACGAGATGGCTAGCAATGGCACTATTCAAAGCGTTAGTTCCCTTGAGATGTAGGCTTTTTGGTTTATTTTTTATTTTATTCCTTCACGTTTCCAGTGGAACATAGGGCTTCAAGCTAGAGGCTTGAATTTTCTGTAGCAGTGTTTATTTTTACAGGATGAGGTTGCTAACCTCATGCCCAACTTTTCCTCCTTACTAGCTTTTTTATTTCTGGCTTAGCGAGTTAAAGAAGTGTGTTGGCCGGGGATCGAACCCCGGACCATGTGCATGGTCGGCGAGCGTCCTAACCGCTGTTCCACTGACGAGGCTTCTTGGTACATGTTCAGAAAATCGGAATCATTAACAAGTACGGAATATGTGAGGGCTCAAATATCAAACAAATCATTCAACTCGTTTTTAAGGGTGATAATATTGCAGGAATAGTTAACAGAAGAATGAATATCTATGTCACTAAGCAGAGTCCTTCCTATCTGTCGATTTTTGATTGCACCGAAGAGCACGTTGTCCGATAAATAGGGACCAACTTAGGATAGACTCTGGCTGGTGACATATTCAATCTTCTGTTAACTATTCCTGCAATATTATCACCCTTAAAATCGAGTTGAATGAAGATAGGCTGTTTACCCCAATGTGATTTGTTTGATATTTGAACACACATTTTCCGTACTTGTTAATGATTCAGACTTTCTGAAGGAACATGTACCGAAAAGGCCTACATCTCAAGGGAACAAACGCTTTGAGTAGTGCCATTGCTAGGCACCTCGTCAATATGAGTCATGATGCGGACATCTCAAAATCCTTTGGAATTATCAATGGATGAAATAGCTCAATTCTGCCGAAGCAATCTCTACCAAGCGGCTTAAACCCAATTTATGTGTACAGGAGGAAACAGTCACCAGTCTGTTCTTCCCCTGGTAACTGTATTTCTTTATCCTCTCTCCCAGTTGATTACGTAATCTTTAACTCTGAAAATTCCATTCTGTATGATTCTTATTGTTTGGGATAAAGTGATTATTATTATTACCATTTCATGCATACACTGACTTTTTGTTTAAACTTGAACTCCCTGGGTAAGTATTTTAAAATTGTTTCTGTGCATAAACTTATTGATAATTTCTTTAGGCTGTCAACAGTTGAGATTAGAAGCCAACGAAATAAACAGTGATGGTACCATCATCTTATTCTACACAAACCCACTGTTGTTCTTGCTCTATTCAAATATTTTCTTAGTTGGTTGGCTGTCAGAGTTTCTTTCCAGCCGTCTCATCTGCAGTGTCGATCGAAGGCGCAAGTGTTGGTAGTTGAAGGTGTTTTATTTTTCACTGCATCACTCGTTGTTTTCAACCCGGCCGATAACTGCTACCTTGCCGTGGTGGTCGGGCTTGAATGCCGCAGTGACCCAACAAGCTAAACTGGCTGGGACTCATGTCCCTGCAGGTCCTACCATGCCGGGAAGGTTGTTTGGATAGCGGTTAGACTAAAAGCAGTTACCATGGGGTACATGGGCTCCAGAATTCAATCGGATCAAATGGCTTACGAACCCATATGGGTCACCGGCAACCATGGGAACGCAGCACCTGACGCTGCTCCGCTGCCTTGCGGATTAGACTCGAAGTCAAAGGCTCGGGGGGTGGTCCCTTAAAAAAACCACCTGCTTCGGTCTGGGCGCCCGGGCAGTATCTCAGCCCTCACACAATTAATTAAATGAAGCAACAAACTATCAGTGAAACTCATCGCACGCTCTTAAAAATGCTCTCAAGCAATAATGATGTCCCAGTTGATATATCTCTTTTCAACCTTACTTTTATTTTTATACTTAGTTTCCTGTATTTTACCGTTGTTTTCAAAGAAATTTAAGTTACTGTCTACTTGTAAGCTGTCTAGTCATTCGTATTCGTTATGCAATATATATATTTTTATTCCTTTACGTTTCCAGTGGAACATAGGGCTTCAAGCTAGAGACTTGAAGTTTCGGTAGCAGTGGTGTTTACTTTTACGGGATTGGGTTGCTAGCCTCATGCCCAACCTTCCCTCTTTACCTGTCTTATTAACGGCTTAGCGAGGTAAATGAGTGCGTCCGTGGCCGGGGATCGAAGCCCGGACCACATGAGGTGTGATCGGCGACCATTTTACCGCTATGCCACCGACGCACTATTCGTTATGCAATATGGGAGTTATATTCTAAAAACCGTAATGACATCAACACGAATAAAGTATTTTTCATTGGATTAGGTTGGCGAGGGTGTGTCGGGTAGGGTTACGGCCTCAGTGTGGCTAGTTGAATCATAGAAATAACTCCACAACAGATAAGCCTAATTTTTCTTCCTAATTCAAGAAATATTTCTCTGAAGTTTCACAGTCAAAAATGTCAACTTCTTGTATAAAACGTACATGCACACGAAGTTCAGAATAGTACAGAAAGAGATAGAGAAAAACAGAATTACACATATAACAGTTACATCGTAGGATAATAAAATTAAGGATAGTGTTATTAATAGATTTCTATAGGGAGTGATGTGAACTTCAAAATTTATTCGCCTTGTAGGTTTGTGTAACATTATAACAACATAATGAAACATAATGTGCTACTCTCTCGCTGCTCAAGGAGGAGGAAGAGTATCACCCCACTCTTTAACAACTCCAAATCACAGTAAGATATAAATTTCACCAATCACCACTTATCCTTAGGTAAACTCCTATAATAAAAGCATCTTTAAAAAATAATCGAGCTAAACATTTACAAAAATACTTCCTGCAAGTTTTATTAAAATCTTGGTTTTCATTTTTTTTTAAACCGCTTCTTTTTATAACTTTTCAATATTTTTAGCTTCCTTCCTCAGAATTTAAAATGTTCAAAAATTATATTAAAAAATTAGTTGGACGTGCTAGAGAAGATTTATTACGTCGATGTTCGGAGATAGTAGAGAATGACACCGTTACTGATCCTAATGATGAATCGAAACAATGTACAAATGATACAGAAATTAACATGGAAACTTCAGAACAACAAGATGCTCCTCAACATCATCATCATCAGGAATCAGGTATGTATTTTGAAATATTGTTGTTTTATATCAATGTGGTAGTTTACAGGGATTTGAATGAGTGATTTACTACCGGATTTCATTATCAGTTGACATCGGTTAGAGCTACTGGGAGTACTGGACAGTTGTTTCATCCTAGTTTTGAACTCTTCATCAGCACGCACCCATCGGAGTTTGAAACCAGGACCTTCTGGTTACCAGTGGGGTACAGCAGGTTGTCGGGTGTGAGGACAAATACGCGCTAATGGGTCACTCCATATCGTGAATTGGCAGAAATTGGAATTCATGGACTGACCATTGGACCGGTGCCCAGTGGCTTAGTGGTCTTCCAACACCCTCGCCTTGTGACCAGAAGGCCCCGAGTTTGAACTCCAGTGGTTGCGTACTGATGTAGAGTCCGAAACTAGGATGAAACAGCTAGCTGTTCAGTACTCCAAGGTGGGTTCACTAATGGTTCTCTAACCGATGCTAGCTCATGATGAAATCCTGTTTTATATCGCTTTTAAATTTTGGGGCTGGTAAACTGAATTGTTGATGTTATTTATCGAAACACATAAAACGTATATGGTTATAGGGAATAACAAAAAGACAGTTGCAGCGAAGAAACTTTTCTTTTCGACGAAGTTATCAACTAGGCTGTAAATTCGTGTGTTTATGATAAATGGGTGGGAAAGTTCCAGAATTATTTCCAGTCAAGGGTCATATTAATAAAATTACAATCAGGAATTAAAATGCCATAATAAACAGAGGGACGGATAAAACTCAAACAAAGTAGCATCATAATTACTGAGATTTACATATTGTGCAATTAGGGGTTAGAAATGTAGAAATAACAAAATATACAGGATGTTTGGATAAAAAATCTAGTGGGATCATAACTAATGTGACGAATAGTTGTTTATGCAATCAGGGATTAAATATGTATAAATAATAAAATGACAAAATAAACAGGAAGTTCGGATGTGAAAATATCGTAGTGTAAATAGGGATTAAGAAAAACTTAAAAATAGCATGAATAAACAGGAAGCTTCGGTAAGAAACGCAATTGCATAGTGACTATTAAAAGAATTGCCTGTATATGAAAGCCATAACAGGGACAAGGGTTGGACGTATTTCTTTTGGATACATAGCGTGGGTTTGAACTTTTGACTGGTTAGTGCCTCAGCTATTCCCAGATGTCTTATTTTTAATCCCTTTGATAGGTTTGATCGAATCTTGTATATTATTTTAAAGGATTTTTCGAATGGCGTTGAATTGACCAGATGTTCTCTCACTGAACTATATACGCGTTTTCGTTCTCCTTTTACTAACCAGGCTGGATAGTGTTCACGAGCGCGTTTTTCAAGTTGACGCATGTTACCGCCGATGTACTCAGCTCCGCACGAGCAAGTAAACTGGCATATGCACTTTGAAGTGACCCAATGCGGCAGCTTGTCTTTCGCGTTCTGGCTGAACAGTTTTTTGCAGGAAAACGTCAGTCGTAGGCTTGCGGCGAAGGATGTTTTCCTCAGAGACTTGCATTGGTGTTTGCGAAGGATTTCTGCTTCAATATCACCTTTGAATTCTAGATTAAGCAGAAGTATCTTCTTCGGGACGTATTGAACTTGTTCGGAGGTCTCCTTTGATATGAGATCCTTATCTATGAGCTTAGGTGGAAAGGCGTTTTCCATCAGGGTCCCTCGGAGATTACGTAGTTCTTCGTCGATCACTTCCTCGCTGCATATCTTCCGAATCCTCGAGGAAAGAGCGTGTATAAGGTTCCTCTTTCTGCTTCGGGATACGAGGCTTTGAAAGTTGATGAATTGTCCATTCCATGTAGGCTTTTTGTATATGGACCTTTTCAGAGAGTTGATGACTTCGTCGAAAAGAAAATTTTCTTCGCTGCAACTGTCTTTTTATCATATCTTTGGTTATTGTCTAAAAACAGTGAAAGTCGATACGGAAAACCTACTACCGTTATTCATGTTATTACTGTGCCATAAGGCGTAATTGTTTGGATTTTTCGTCTCTTGTCTTAGTTACTGCTTGTGTTTTTTTTGTCACTCCTGTCGTGTGGATAAAAAACACAGTTGTCCGTTCTATAATCACATTACGTCTTAATTATCGTGATCACCGGCATATACTATCAGACAGTAACAACAACAGGTTCCTTTACATTTCCTAAATAGTTATTTGGGAGTTGCATTTCAAAGAATATTCTTTATGCTATAGCAACTATAATCAACAAGAGTGTGGTATTGAGAAATTGATTTTGGTATTATTGCATTTATTGTTTGTCATATTGTGCCTTGTTTGAAACGTTATCTTCACCTATAACACTTCTGAGTACAGTACTCATAAGAGTAGCAGGTCAGTACATACACTAATAATTTCTAATACATGAAGTAATAGGCTGAATGGATTCTAACACCAAGAAACGTGGGGGGGGGCGGGAAAGAACAATAACCTCAATTGCGATTTCATAAATATACAACACTCTGAAATCAATTGAGAAGTCTTCTGCACCCACCATAGAAAACAAAATTCGGATTTTGAACACCAATATTAAGTCAGTCAGTTCTTCTATATGGATCAGAAACTTGCACAGGAATTCACGAAAAGCGTTTCAAACAGGTTACTGTAGACTTTTATCAACAGCTGCCTTCGCTGGCTCTATACTGAAGATCAGTTGGCCGGCCGGTCAGAAGGAATTAGCAACAAGATACTCTGGCAACGAAACAACCAAAAAACGACTGTTTAACAAATATTTAGGTGAAAATAAAGATGGATTCGGCACACACCACTGAGGAGATCGTCGAATGATGCTGCGCTCTAACCAGGCCATAGCTCGAGTGAAACCCGAATGAGAAACGACAAGTGGAACGTGTGTCCGAGGGTAGCATGGAGAAAATCGTGCGAAAAGCAGATCAGAGGCTATGGGTAATTGTGGGGCCAGTCAGCCGAAGAGGACCGCAGAAAATAGGACAAAATGGAAACTTACTGTTATAGCCCTATGCTGCACTCGAAACCCGAGGGAATAATAATAGTAAACGAAAGGGATAATGTGTGACAATGAGTATCTGCTTGGTTGTCATGTGTTTATAGATTATCGCATTTGGTGAGTAATTTTACTACACGGCGAGTGTGTATAGGGGAGTTAACAGTTATTTTCACTAAACTTAGGCGAGCTGCTAGTTTTTTTTTCCTTCGCGTTCCCCAGTGGAACATAGGGCTTCAAGCTAGTGGCTCGAAGTTTCTGTAGCAGTGCTTATTTTACAGGATGGGGTTGCTAGCCTCATGCCCAACCTATCCTCTTTACCAGCAATATTTCTGGCTCAGCGAGGTAAAGGAGTGCGTCAACCGGGGATCGAACCCCGGGCCATGTACATGATCGGCGAGCGTCCTAACCGCTATACCACCGACGCACTGAGCTGCTAGTGCGTTTGTCATTTTACATTATGTAATGGTTTCTATTAGATGGTTGGAGGCAATCGACAGGAAGCCTTGGACCTAGGTTTCGTGCTAGTTGGCACTCATCAGCAAGGCGTATCTGCAACCTTGAAGGAACTGATGTCCCTTCTGAGATTCGAACCCGCATTACCCAGTGTTGCAGTCAGAGACGTTACCACTGAGCTATTCAGGCTCGCGACTGACCTCCTGTAGGACTGTATTGGATATTTTTTTTTTGATTGCACACTAGTCCTGCCGATTGCCTCCAACCATCTAATACCAACAATTCACAGTGCACCGTAATGGCGAGTCACCTAGCATGGTGGCCACATTGCAAACATGACTGATAGAATTCAGTCTGCACCGAAGATAGGACTAGACACATTACACTAGTTACTGACTAGTGTGCAATCAAAAAGTAATGGTTTCTTTTTAGCCTAAACTAGTCACCGTAGATCTACATTTCACCAGATGATCTTGCGTTATAAAAATCATTCTAAAGGACAAGATTTAGTGCAGTCGGATGCTTTTATTAGTCCTGTGCATCGGCTTCCATTAAACCCCTACATAGCATTAAAATTCTAGTAAGTTGCTATATACATAATCTTGAACAACACATTTAAGCGAACAATATTGTACTTTGAATTCGACACATCTCACCAGGCTTAACTCTAATATACCCACATAACTTCACAAATGAAAATTCAAATATAGACCAGTCACGGTGTTTTGTCAATAGGTTAATAAGATTGTGCATATAAATTGTGCAATCAGTCATAATAATAGTAAAGATAATAATAATAATGGTTCTATCAATAACAAGGATGAAAAAGTGAGGCAATCTGTGATAACACGAATAATGAAAAACAGCATGATAACACTAACAGGTGTTCAGGTAGAAGTAGTCGATAAAGGCTAAGAAAAACAAATGAACCGATTAAGAAGTAATGCTAGATTGTAAGGGAAGTAAATAAAACATGTTTTTAATGAAGATTTGATAAGATTAAAGGATGATAAGAGAGGGTTTTGAGATATAAGTAAGGGGTGGTGTAGAAGTCATCAGTTGGTTATGTCTTAATAGGCCAACAAGGAAGAGATAATGGCTGTACGAACTTCTTTGGAATGCATAGTTTAGGTTTAATAGTTAGAATGCCTATCGCCTGCCTCGGCTGTGTGCAGTAGACGAATACGAAGTCTATTGAAAAGATTCGGTAGGATACTATGAAAGCTCTCGTTTTCTCCACTACATGACCACTATCAACTAAATGTGGCAAAATTGACTACGGATTGTTTTTGTCTGTCCCTTGCCAAACCACGATGGGAGGTGTTTAGTAGTGACACGTTGGCTTAGCTGTCTAATAGTACGCCAAACATAACTGTCACCGCATGTGCAGTTGAATTGATAAATGCACATAGATGTGGCAAAACTATATAGCTTATCCTTCGTTTGTGTTGCAATCATTCGTCGGCTAGAGAAACATGACAAACATAGGTATGCTGCGTAAAACCTTCTTCGTATAGTCTTGGGAAGTGTCTGGAATAAAATCTCACTTGATAAGTCACCATTAAATTGTAACTTAATAAACAGAGGTTTTTTACGTGCAGTTATAGTCTCAGGTTTTCTCTCTGATGTTTCTTTATGAAACTAATCTCCGTCAAGAAATCATGAAAATATTTAAATTCATTTTGTAACTGGTCATCTGTACATGTCTTTCTTGCTCTACTCGTAAGACATTTGACAACATTTCTTTCATATTTATTGGACAAGTAACTGAGAAAGTGTGTGTATTGCCCTGTGAATGTGTATACTTAATCCATGACGGAAATCTGTATAAATCAGCCACCCTATGAGCCGGAGTTGTTGTTTGACGACTGACCACATCACCAAGGTATTCATTCACGCTGTAGTAGGTAAGGCAGGTTTCAAATGTCGAACCTATTGTGGCTGTAAGTCGACTGTTTAACCTAATGAGCTACAGTTAAACATGGATTTATACACCTAACCTACTAGTTTAATGTCTGGTGTTTGTTTCCTGTAAACCATTCACTCACAATTTAGAGGCTCTGTGTTACAAACTCCTCTGACAATAAGTAGTGTCAAACTACTCTAGTATCCTAATTTTACGAGAACTATTTATCTATGTATCTAAAAGGCAAGTAAAACAACCTATTATAAATTAACTTCCTTGTCTACTATAATTCTAACAGAAAATTTGATCAGGTGGTTGGTAATACTTTGTTAACTTGAGTAAATTTTCACTTTTCTTTTACAGGTCCTAAATTGTCCAGAACTCGAGCGAGGAAACTACTTGCCATTCTGTCAATAAAGTCTGATTAATATATTTTTATAGACTGAGAATTGATTGTTTTGTCTATTTTTTCTGAATTTCTTTTTTTTGGGGGGGGGGGGTTGGAAACCTTTCGGATACAGACAGAAGCGTAAAGACTAGCCAACATACTTGAAAATTATTACAGAGTAATACGCGTGCTGGGAATATGTGTGCACAATCACTGTGACCTATTCACTTACGAAAACAAACGTTAACCTTCTACATTTGAGGTTAGGCGTCGAGTGCTAGTTGACGAGGGAAAATCAACCGACGAGGCTGTGAAGTTACACCGATTGAGATGGTTAAGACATATGCTATACATGTCTAGCCATCAGCTTCCTCGATGAGAAATATTAGCTAACATAGGCTCGATCAGGTTGGGAAGGAGTTAGCTAGTGGTGGTCAAACCAAAACATGGCTTCATCAGTCAATGAAATCCACAACAGTTAGTGTAAGGCAAGCAGTCAAGTAGAGAGGTGTAGATTCCTGGCTGGTTGTTGTCCTAGAGATAAAAAGAAACAGTTACGAATGGAGACAATTAGCAGTATGGCTCGAAATCCTTCTCGATGACTGGCGCAGATGCCACTCTTTGTGATTTGTCATATCTAATGAAACTCTATTCTTCTTCTTCCGTATTACTATTCCTTTTCCCTCACTCACACTTCTGTTTTTTGAATCTCTCTTTACTCTCTTCCAGTCCAGTCTACTATTGCTGAATTTACATCTTTATGCAATCTGGATCTATTTTAAGTGAGAAAACAATAAAGACAATTTACTCAAGCTAGTGTTCTATATTTTCGTAATAAGTATAAAAAAGAGTTCAATATACAGTATAAAGAAATAATGCACTTTATCACATAACCAGTTATTACTATTATTATCGTTTATTTTTTCTTGCTAACAGATATCTTCTACTTTTAGCCATACGTGCTTTTATTCGTTCACGTGAAATTTGTGCTCCTTCTTTTGCTAAATTACGTAGGCGATCACTTTCTTGCACTTGTGGTGCTTTGCCTGTCAGGCGAAGATAACGTACCAGATATCTGGTTAATATGAGCGTGAGGCCGTAACGCAATGGTGCTGCTAGTTTATAGAATACTAAGGCTGTTGCAAGAGTATTCATGGCTCCACCACCAAGGTGTAGAGGTTTACGTAACCATTCAGGTGCATTGAAACTATCCAAAATATCCAGTAGGTTGATTCCACTGTAAGTAAAATTATTAAAATAAGAATTAAGTTTTAAAAAATTTAATGTGGAAAATACAGTGTTAAATGTGCTACACTACGTATGGAACTGTCAGTTATTGCTATAACACAAGTTTTTACTAAGGTAACTGTGACTTGTCAAGACGGTCTTGCGGACTTACACAAAGCATACGTGTCTAGTTCAAATCAGATAGGATAGTTATTTGGAGACATGGGACTTATGTTTTCTGTACACTGCAAGATAGAACCAGGGCCAAGCACTCAAGTGTTCCAGGCTACAGCATTAATCGATCGATTGGCGAACGACAAACACACCCCAATGGTGAAGATTTAAACGGTTCTGCCACATTTTAAGAAAACTAACCTCAAATATTAGAGTAAGACATCACATGGTGAATGTGATTACTGTTGAATATATGTGGCAGAAAATTTAATTAACAAACATTCGACATCAGCTATACTAGAAGTACTAAGGATCGGAGAAGTACGGGCAGTAGAAGTTCTCTAAAAATATTCTTGAGGGTAATATATCAATCACAACAGGTGAACACAAACGACTGTGATATACGAAACGAAAAGTGGGTGAAACTTTAGGTTAAAAATAAGCACATATGTCACTTTTAAGCTACAGTTGGATGAAATGTGAAGGAATTCATGGTCAACAATAAATCATAAAAACCGAAATGTAACATCATAAACGTGGGAGCTTCGTTTTGAGATTCAAAGTCGCATTAGGTCAACACCTAATGATCAATAATAGTACATTTAATATGAATACATCCTGATTATTCTTTCAAAAATGAAAACATGCAGGGTTCGGATGCCCAAAATACCAGTGAAAATTTTCTCCTGAAATTTCAGAATGAGACAGAAAGGTTGGAGTATTTAATTTACTTTTGATATATTCTACTAGCAATAGTGAAATTACGCACTTCTCTTTAGGAATGATTTATCAAAGGGAACCTGAAAGTCAGAAATGTCCACGAAAAACATGCTTTCAAATGATCTCAACGAGTGTAATGATTCAGCAAATATTATACAATAAGGCTCATTTCAGTGTCGATGAAACTAACCGGTAGGCTTCACAAAGATCAAACTAATCAACCTCTGGTCATTACCGTATAATATTAATCTCCTGACAATAAAGGCTCTCCCATCCACTAAACAAGGCACACCTCTATGTACTTCCTAATTAAGAATTAACAGAAGCTTGTAAGCCGTAGTATGTACTACGACTTAGTAGACTCACATTGTACAATGTGAGTCTACTAATTATGATGCTATATATGAAGTCTTACCTGCTAGCCAGTGCATAAAATCCCCCAAACCATAAACAAGAAGTGACACCATGCGTTATAAGTACAACTTTTCCGTAGATTGCGTATGCATCTTTGAAGCGTTTGACTAGGCTGGTTTTCTTTTGATCGATGTCATTTTCAGTTTTACCATTACTGGAATTAGCGGCTGTGCTCCTAGACACCATGGGAATAGATAAGTTCTTAATGAGGAAAGCCTTTTTATGCATGGCAGGCCCGTTGACCATGGAGAAGTATTGCCTGTGATCATGAATAAAACTAGATCTCGGTAAATATCCATATGCCGACGAAGTTATCATGCACCCGAAATTATTTGTTTGGGTGATCTTATGCCTGCAGGCTTCGAAAAAGCGCCTACATAGTATTAGACTTCCCATGTTGATCCTGTGGCAGAGAGTTTGTGGTCTAACGCCTGCACCTCATGCCTCAAGGTCGTCTAGTGAGATTCAAATAAGGCGGAATTTAATCGTCCAATAGGCTGAAGAGTGAGGTGAACTTCTGGAAAGGTCCGCCAGAGCACTGTGTAAATTCGTGCCAGCCTTGATTCTGATATTTTTACTGATAATAGGAGCTTTCGGCAATAGGAAAACAACAGTGACCCAATGGATGATATTGAAGTGACCAACGTATCCAATATCGTTTTTACGAGCTAGTATAAACCAATTTGATTTCTTTGTGCTCGCCTCTTGATTGTGAGGTAGAGGTTCCCGATCTTCGGTAAACGTCTACGTAGCTCGTCCCGCCACTCGACTGCCGTAGCTTTGGTTGATTCCAAAAGGAGTAGTGCAGGGATTAATTATATGTGGTTTGTAGTATGCGGTGTGTTAAGACTGTCACTACTGTGAATGGAGTTGATGCTTTCACCAGTTGGTCCTTCGGTATCGTCGTCAATAGAAAAGAGATAATAATGATAATAATAATAGATATAATTAATGAAGGTATTCAGACTAACAGACATAAAAATAATAAGAAAACGTAACAACAGTCAGTCAACCGGTATATATATATACCAGTAATAATAATATATGATGACCAACGTAGGTAGTAGTTAATTTATGAGAATGAAACTGTATATTTTACAAAAATTTCAAGCTGTTTAGTACTTAACGTGGTGATATCACCGTTCAGCACTCCTATATAGGACTCATAGTTGTCGAGAGTTGGGTAACCTTTTGACACTAAATTTTTGAATACAGCATTTAATCTAGATTAACATTCATCAACAATTGAGACATTCGTGGTGTACACCAAAAGCTTGTCACTTTCCCACCAGTCTATTAGGCAAAAGTGGCAACTGGTGGGAGTAGTTCTTACTGTCCCGACCATGGGATATGAACAGGTCAATATCCCTAGAGACTTACACACTGTAAATCAGCATCTGTGAGAGATGTACCAAAGAATGATCCATAGAAAGGGAGTTTCTGAATGTTATCACAGCTGTTGGACTGTACAATAGCAAGTCGTTGTTGGCGGTTGAGTGAACCTTTCGTCTAGTCTCAGTTTATCAAGCTGCTACCTACAGGAGATGGTAGTCATACGAGATAAAAGTTATTTGAAGTCGGTATATATTTAACTCTTCGTCATTCTCTAGATATTCAGCCATTGCCTTGAAGTTCACAGTGCTTCGCTGCATTGTATTCGTGTGTATTATGGACAGTTAATTAAATACACAGTTCTCTGCCCTCTAAGGCTTTGTTATATTACTGGTAAACTGTGATATAAATTCTAGATGATGGATTTCGCTTGGATGAGTATTCATCAAATTTTGTGGTGAGTGCGAAAGTGAGAGGCTAATGATCTGTGAATGGTTTACCTTCTATCACGTGGCGAGTGTTTAATGGCTAGGTGGGTTGCCAAAGACTCCCTGCCAGAGGAATTGTTACAGACACCTGTAATGAAGATACGAATCTTCAGGCTCTGACATAATATCCAGGTCAAAAACCAATTCATCCCAAATAGAGTGTTATTAGGTACCAAAATGTTGACGACATTGCAAAATTGTTCTATTCAACCACTAACAATAGCTTCGTAACAACAGCTCTGTGGGAAGTAAATGTATTGAAGGACTGCTTGCAGACACTACTTTTGATGACATCTAGTAGAATGTCAACGAAGAATGATGACCTGAAATGAGGGAGACAAAAATCAAATAATTAGGAGACATGTAATGCATTAGATAGGTATTTTAGATAAACGTACCACAGGGATAAAAATTCACTCATTTCATTCACTTCTGTTCCCACTATTCCTTATGTCAGTGTGACTGACTTTTGGTTCACGGTTTCATCTTTAGCTGGACAATTTAAGGAATCGGGAAAATGCATACAGTACTTAGGAAACGGCGTTAATAATTCTTTAAACCAATTAACACTGTAGTAAGTGGTGACATTAGGCAGCTGCAGCGACAAATGCTGACTGACAGGGTTCTAACATAAAACTCAGCAGAAAAGTGCAGCTGTTCGATTTGTTACATTCCACACTTGAAAAATATCATATTTATATATGTCCAAACCAAGTTCACTTTTAACGGTTTGAAAAAATTTGGGCATTGGGTATATGATATTCATTGTAATAAAGGTTTTTGTATTTCCCAATGAATGAAAAACAAAACGATATTGTTATTATATTTAGTTGGTAATAGGCAAAAAATTTCGTCAGATATGTTTCGACTTAGCATTTAAGTTGTGGGATAAAATAAACCAACTCATGAGATATAACGAGACAGATTCTGAAAGTTATCTCGGATAAGAGGAGAGATTATTAATAATAATATATTCTGTAAGGTAACACCTTTTTTCGGATAGACATTTCGGTGATTTCGGTGATTACTATCCACTTTTTAACGTTTCGTTATACCCAGACTATATGTCATTCTGACTGACTGACTTTCAAGAAAATGCTTGTACAGAAATTCATTTGTTCAAGTTACTACATTCCATGTAGCACACAAAGGTATAGAGAAAAAGAAGTTAAATGGAACTGTAATGACCACAAATGTGAGGGAGAACGTATGGTGATAAGAATGGAATACAGGGGTTGATCAGATATGTGAGATTACACGAAGTAAATGCATGTCACTGACAACGACTCAGAGTCACATCTCTAGCTAACGCTATGCGTTTAACCCCAATATTACTCACCACATTATACTACTTAACACAGGAGATAGGGCAAAGACACCTGCGATCAAACACCAGTAGTATTTTCATAGCTCTCAGCTTCACTAGTAACCTATCACAACCCAGGTGGACAATGTCATCAGCATACTCTAAGTTGACGCGACTCTCTCTCCTAATAAGTCCACAAAGTCAATGACAGACAATTCTACTAATGTGTGTATGACGAAGTTAAACAAAAATATGGACGACATTTCCAGAAGAGAGCCTTGTATTGCATCCTCCTTGTCAAAGTATTTGAAGAATGAACGATCAATTCATGGTTGTTTGCTCAAACCCAACTCCATATTTTGGCGGGAGTCATCGATACTGCAGTCATCGTTCTATCGTTCGCTGTTTGTTAGAAGACAGAAAAACTATCAGAAGTATTATTGTGGTTAATTGTTATAACATTTACCCTTAGACTTTGTGTACAATAACCTTGTGGTTGGTTCTGTATTGGCGCAAGAATATAGGATTCTTGAATCACCAATTTGTGTTCTGGTTTTTCGCGTTGGTTATTGACAATAGTTTCTGAAAGTCTTCTAAGAACAGCGTTAGGTCCAGGGTAGTTAGACCTGGCCATTGACAATCTGCGTAAGCAAACTTGCACAGTGACAATATAACCCTTTTGAGTCAACACTCCGCGAAAACTTCTCCACGGTCATGTATTCTAAAATGTGGAACAGCCTGCCCCTGGATGTCAGAGCTTGTAACTCGGTTATAAGTCTCAAACGCCCTCTGTACAGACTGTTTCACTCTACTGATTACATGAATAAACTATTTGTTCCTAGAACGAATCAATCATTAGTTTACTGCAGTACCTAAAGACGCCCTTAAATACCCTAATTGCTCTCTAAACGATAAACAGACTGGTCGCATAGATGCATAAAAAGACTAAGTAGTAATAAATATGTATGTTTACTAAATTACAATGTACAACGAATATAAACATATATGTCCCACTCCACATACATTTTCTTTGCTCTCTGGTACTTTGCTGCTCGCCTCTTCTGTTGTATTTGCCTTGTAGTGGAAGTTGCATCGATCTACATTCAGACTGAAGCCGAGAAACAATTGAAGTCACTTACTCATATATCATCCCCCAAGCTTTGGCTAGTAATGGCTCAGCATCCATGATAAAATCCACTATCACCATAATAAGACGCTGTACAGCGTTCTATGCAAGCACTGTTAATGATCTAAAATGGCTTAGATTTAGATTTCTACCTGTTAGTCAACTTACTCGTACGGAACAACCATGCAGTGACAAATGGCGGGCTCTGGGTGACTTGGGTGCAGTAAGACAAATCTGCTTGACAATGACCAATACTGCTCAGGAGCAGAGCAATAATCTTGTGCGTCTAGCGCCTGTCGCACATGCTCTGGGATGACTTGCAACCGAAATTGCTTCATTGCTGCCTCTCCCCACCGTGCTGTCCCCTACAGGCTGCTTCAGGAGATGGAAGAACTGCGATGGGGATCTATCTCACATCTTTTCCCCGTGAAGCAACCGTTGCATACTCCGGTTTTGGGACATAGAGAGCCGTTTTATTACCTCACACATAAGCACTATATATGGCAGCTCGTTGGGCGGATGAAGTATAAGGTCTCATAAAATGACTAAAATAAGGCCCTACACATGGTGGTTTCAGGCTTTATGCTACGACGGTCAAAATAGTGGTCTAGTTGATCAAACCTTAGTGTCTGGTCATGTTGATCAAATTTAGGCAGCCTAACTTGGTAATTACTGAAGAATCCATAAACAAAGAAGAAGAGATTTTAAGGTCAATTTCTATGTTATGCGAATAAGACTTTGTAATGGACAAAAGTATTGAGCAAAGTAATAAGTACCTGAGAAATAAATAGGTAGACAAATGTGGGAAACAAAACAGATTTGTTGACCTTAGTCAACTATACGCAACAGACGAGAAAGTATGAACTGAAAGCCGGGCTCACCAATTTAGAAACTGACTTTTATACCAAAATGATCACACTACAATGGCTGGAATCAGGTCACTCACTACCATACCACCTTACATATATTTTAATTCTGGCAATGAATATGCTAGTGTGTTATCTTTAGGCTTTTATTTGGGTCTGGATTATCTCACAGAAGTCTTGGGAATACAGATTTCTAGGACATGTATATCTGAAAATCTAATCCAGTTAGTCTCTTTGCCTTTGTTCTAGCTTTCATTCGAAAATGGCACTTCTGTTTTCATTAATCGTTCTTTCTCTGATGGATATTTACGGCCCATTTAGACTGTGTTTGTTGGTTGTTTTACCTGTGTTTATTCATTTTCTCATGAATATGTGAGGGACCTTAGCAGAAGATATTTTCTCACTAAAGCTGCATAGCCTAAATTATACAATTCCCGTTTGGTCAGATCGGGTCACTTGATTTCTCCAGGTTACACATTACTGCATGGTAGCCTACCAGTCGTTTACAGCACCACGTGGCGGTAACACCCTCGATTTCTACTTACAGCCAGGAATTATTGTCAGTTTTAATTCTAGTTTCACAGGACTGTGTTACGGGTTCACTAGTCACTTTATCGCCATATTGTTTAAGTCAATTTATTGGCATTTGATGTCCAGCCCAACCATTATCAGGTGGCATTTCTTCCCCACTGATCTTCCATCTGTCATCTGTAACTTCTGTAGGATGACCACGTAGTAAGTTCAGAGCTCAGGTCCTGACGCTCGAGTTAGCCACTTAAAACTATCTCGGAACACTTTAAAATATTTTTAATGCTGGATATTGGATATTGGATAATCTTTTGTTTAAGTACTTCACATTTCAAATAAAAGTGTACAAGTCCTTGAAGGCCGTGGTTAGAATAATGATCTGTCTTTTCGTTCTCGGCTAGCTGGGATTGTGGTGACTGTCGTCCGCATCCTCCCACTACATCTGACATCGACAATCCTTTCTGCTGCCTTAAAAATGAATAAGCTGCCAATATACGTATTTTCAGGTCCTTCTGGAGCTGGTAAAAGCACACTTCTTCAAATGCTAATGAAGAAGTATCCGACAAGTTTTGCATTTAGTGTGTCTCACACAACACGAAAGCCACGACCTGGGGAGAAAGATGGCATAGATTATCACTTTACTGATAGAGATACATTTTTACGTGAAATTTCTGAAGGGAAGTTTTTGGAGCACGCTGAATTCGCCGGAAATATCTATGGGACTTCAAGATATGCTGTACAATCGGTAATCACTTTTCATTTTTGATAAATGCCGTTTACTGATTTGTCTGTTTAAATCTTGGTTGCATACTTGAGTGGTAACTGATATCAATACTTTCAACTAAAACCTGTTGCTATAAGCAATAAATTTATGTTGCTTATACTTAGCTAATGTAATCGTCTAAGTTGGTGAATATTAGGGATAGTGTCATTAAGACTTCGTCCTACTTGTTGGTCACAAATTTTTGTGCATCATGTAATGTTATTAAGTTCCCAATATTCAAGCATCTTGTATTTACATATAAACACTGCCTTCACAGTCATTCATCCCTGACATAAAACAAAACTTTCACGTCAAGCCGTTTACTATCAGAATGAATTTCGTTCCCTGCTTCTGATTATTGTTTTATTTCTTTAATCCGTTGGGTCTGTTCTGTCTACATTATTCATTTACATATACATCACCAGGAGCATTGCAATGTTTGTTTTAACCTTGTGTTGTATCATATAAACTAGTTTGGAGTTGTATGTTATTACAAGGCTTAAATTAAGCTATTGTATTAGCAGTTGTAAACTTCGTATGACGTTCCCTGTTTAATCCAACTCCTACTGATATGCCTAGTCTAGGTAGGCGGTGAATCGACGTGCAAACATATCCTAGTCAGTAAGATCCTTGTGCATATAAAAAGTAACGGGTTGACTGATGTTACTTATTTGGCACTGCATGTTACCTCAACACTGTCTTCTATGTTGATTCGTTTAACTTGTGCAGATGGGCAAGGAATAAGTGGTGAAAAGACCTGTGGTCTTCTCACATTTGCTTTATGGTGGTTATGCCTGAAAAGTAGGATATAATAGAGTGAGTTGCTTTGCAATGCATAGACCTTTCCATCCGTAGCCTCATATCTGGCAATCACTGCACTTGGTCTCAAGTTTTGTTACTTATCAATCCATTAGAGCTTATACGATATCTAAATGACTAATGTCGTCAACATACTCAGCAGATTCACTTTCAAGTGTTAGACCAAGATTCCATACAGACGGTTCTAAGACACGGGTGGACCGCATGCTGAATGAAATTCAAATCTTGTGTCCTGTTACTTGAAACAATCGACAATAATCTCTAGACTCGAGTTTTGTGCCTATAGGCTCTCCTCAGCATCATGTAATTAAGACTTCGTGGTAAGTGATGTTAGCTCAGAGAAGCAAGCCAGCATTACGTAGCTCTGTTGCCAGCGATGTTACAAATGATAATAGAAGAGGGCCTAAATTTTGTAAACTTTCTCACTTATAAAGATTACGCCATTTCTTCTTCTGGTAACAGTAAAAAGTCTGAGCATTGTGGATTAGGTCAAATAAATTGTAATTATATTTCAATAGTTCACACGCAATGATAAGTTTTTGTTTTTGGTAATATTTCGAGCAAAGTTACTGCGCGTGATCACTCCAACTGTTGGAATGAATATCAAAATCAGTTATATAGTTCTATTAATATGTCTGAAATATGATTAGGTGAAGAGTATCCAACATCCCTGCTTATATTCTTCAACTCTGTTTAATTTCTTACGTACCTACGTGGGTTAGATCAGAGTACATCAGATATCGCATTGTCTCCTTATTGACTTTTCGGTCAAGAAGTATGACGAGTACCAGAGGTTGTTTTGCCTGTTTTCTTCGGCCCCACCTGTCAGTATATTACTGAAATTGATCCCCTCGTGGATATCAGTTTAAATCACCCATTTTTATGTTAGATCGACACCAGTTTAGAAATGAATCTAAGATGTATATATTTTCTTTTTCGCCTTATCGACTGTATCTTTACCTAATAAGATTGATTTCTAACAACAAAGCTCCATAACACGTTCTTATCGAATTATTTTCATATAGATAAATATTCTTAGCTTATGCTAGTCGAATTCTTTCCCATTGTCTTATATGACTTCGTCGCTAGAATAATTGTTCTGTTGCACACTCAACTACTCAATATGACTAAACTTGAGTACTTGAATAATGACCTTACCAGTTTTCTGTTTCATTTCTTTATTGGTTAATCCGAAAAATAAGTATTATCGATAATTATCTCTGAAATATAGCGTTTTCTGTTTAACACTACTGCAGTGAAATCCTAATCTGGTCTTGTTCTTTGTCATTTCATTGGTAACTTTTTGATACACTGAGCAAAGTATTCTTGTCAAACTTTTGGCTAATTTATTATTATTATTGTTTCCTTTAATTCCTAGAGGAACATAGGGCTTCAGCCGTGCGTCTCCATTGCGTTCGGTTCTCTGCTAGAGTTTTCACCTGGCTCCAAGTCTGCCCACACGTTTTCATCTCCTCTTCACATGACCTCCTCCAAGTCACCCTTGGACGACCATTGTAGGTCTTAAGTTAAACAGTTACTCAAACAGATTTCCCAATGGAGTTTTAAGGTGAATTCAGTCTAGCTTATTGTAAAAGATATGAAATTTAAAGTCAAGAGGTAATATCTAGATCGAATTTCGATAAGGATACATAATTAAAACTTTTCTGGGTTTTATGAAGGATGTTTCAATAAGTGGCCATGTTGAAAGTGTGAATCATAAGTAATTGACAGTAATATAACTTTTTTGAGATCGAGCGTTGAGCGGCAACGTTTTAAGTGGCAATCGACCACAGGAGTCCTTGACTGACCTAAGTTTCGTGCTTGTTGACACTCACCAGTCTGTCATCAAGGCCTTATCTGTAACTACCTTGAAGGAACTCATATCTCTCCTGGGATTCGAGCCCACGTCACTCAAAGCTTCAATCAGAGAAGTTACCACTGCTAGTTACTAATTAGTATTCAGTCAAAGCATCCAATTCAGAAGTCCCACAGAAGGTCAATCGCAAGCCCAAATAGTTTGGTGGTAGAGTCTCTGATTGCAGCTCTAAGTGACACGGGTTCGAATCTCAGGAGGGGCATGAGATCCTTCAAGGTAGTAGCAGATATGCCTTGCTGCATGGCGAGTAGTAACTAGCCCAAAATCTAGGTCAGTCGAGACTTCCTGTGGCCGCTTGCCTCCAACCACCTAATAACAACAAGGATTCTATATTTTAAGCTGATAAAAGGTTTATATCAACGATTGTTTTACATACTAAATGCAATTTCCTGTTGTTTTTTCCCGATGCTTATTGTCAAAATTTTTTTGATTTTAGGTACTGGATACTGGCCGGATATGTATTTTAGATGTTGAATTAGAAGGAGTTAAAAGTATTCGTGCAATTCGACCACCGTTAAATGCTGAATACATTCTTATTCGTCCACCGTCTATTGATGATTTGAATAGACGTTTACTTGCTCGTGGAACAGAAACTGAAGAAACCTTGTCTAAACGGATTGAAAGAGCTCGTAAAGATATTGAATTTTCAGAAACTGAAGAAGGCAAAAAATTATATACAAAAATTATCATCAATAATGATCTAGACACTGCGTATAAAGAATTAGAAGATTATCTTCTCCCGTCTATCAAGGCTACGAAACCTGTTTAATTAATGACACAGTGCATAGAAATCCTTTCAAATTGACTTTTAGTGATAAATAATGCACATTTCCTCCTTAGAGGTGTCTACGTCATAGATGATATAGTCTGACAAAATAACACATACATGGCAGCGTCTTTCTTTATGCTTTAAAACTGTGTTTACCTCACATTAGTATGTATAGGAAAAGGATCGATTGATTTTCTTTTTTCAAGTTTATTGCTTACACATGATTCATTTTTAGCTTTTGTGCAGATCTAACCCTACTCTCTATTCTTTTTTTTTTTTGTAATCCTCCACACCACCTACAGCTCACCACATATAATCTGTGAAAATTTTAAAATACATCTATAATTTTTGAAGAAAACCGCATTTTAGTGCTTCGTTTTTTTTTTTTGCTCTCTAATGTTATGTTATGCTGCAGTGTGCGAATGCGTATTCCTTATTCCGTTCGATACAATTGTGCAATTTTAATGAAACTGTTACAGTTTTGTGCAAAGTTTTACGTTGAAAGTCCAGCTCAACAGGCATTTTATTACTCTATAACTTACTGCACTGTTGTGACTGACGATATCGGTGTCATTTTTTTGGTGTTTCTTTTTGTAGACGTTACAAAATAGTAATAGTAGTAGTGGTAGTATTTTCTCGTTTGATCACGAGCGATGACATCAGTTAGAAAACCACTGGGGAAAATCCAGGGAGTACTGGAAAGCACAAATGAGCAGAAGTTGAAATTCATGGACCATTGGCTGGAACGAACGGTCTACGAGCATGCCTTGTAACTGGAAGACAGGTCCTAGGTTCGAACCCCTGTAGTAGGACAGGAACAGCTGGCTATCTGATACTCCCAGGTGGTTTTCTAATGGTTCTCTAACCGATGTCAGATCACGAGGAAATCTTGTAACCAATTAAATCCCTGAAAACCAACCCTTGAATATCAATGAGGTGCTCACTATCGACTGACCCTAATCAGATAGGTAGTTAGTTACCTGGATTCAAGTGAGAAGTCGTGATCAATGAGGTACATCAGGTCGGGTATGAAAACAAATACTCGCCAGTGATGACATTGGTTAGTGGTTGTGCTATATCGTGAATTGGCAGCGGTTGGAATTCATGGACCATTGGGTCCCAGTCCCAGTGACTGATGAATAGTGTACGAGCTCGCTTTGTAACCTGGAGGTGCTGGGTTCGAACGGTGGTGGAGGGTGTGTACTAGGACGAAACAAGCGGCACTCCCAGTGTAAGATCAATTCAATTCCCATCATTGAATCAAGTCAACCTGTCCCGGATCAGCCTAGCGTTGTTGCAACCCAATTATCCATGCCTAACGTGTCTATCCCCCCTTGTTTAATGAACTGTGGGTGTGTTTTTTACATCGATCCGTCTAGTCAGACCCAATCTAGTCATGACCCAATCAGAGTATTTTGTGAACTGTTATTTTTGCTGACCCATGTCTTACTTTGTACTATTTTGTCGAGTTTATCTTATTTATTGATTGGTTAAGTAGGCAATTAAATTCTATCATTATGCCTATGCTCTGTCTACCTCTTACTTGGGTTCATTCTTCTACTGACTGCTTACATGAACGGTCGTGTCTAATTCCGGCTAGTCCTCAATTTTGGCTTTAACGTTATTCCGCTCTGATAGCGGTACCTTGTTTTCTGTTAAGCGTTGTGCTTTGTACTCTTGAAACCGTTAAGTACTGTAAGCGCAATATCGCTTGAAATTAAGTCACGCTTAGAAACAGTGACCGGCTTCTTGTTTGTTCTGAACCGGGATAGCCTTTATCTACGCGTGACTTAATTTCAAGCGATATTGCGCTTACACCCAGGTTTACCAATGGTTCTGTGTCGGTTATATTTAAAAATGTACGACATAAAGAAGACCCGAAAGTCATGTCGTAGCTTAACTTTTTGGTTTTTCTGTGTTTCACAACAATCAGACAGATTAAGTGAGTCAACAATTTAGTGTGCACAGAACCATCTAACTTGTTATAGATGAGATACCCTCATCAACCTCTGTTCATAATATATGCGTCGGTGGCATAGCGGTTAGGACGTTCGCCGACCATGCACATGGTCCGGGGTTCGATCTCCGGCCGACGCGCACCTGATACCAATGGTCAGCCTGCTAAATTTGGGCTACCGATATCACATACTGAAAATTCCATACTTGTATCAAAAATACTGTGTGCAGTCAAACTTTAATGAAAATAAATTTTAAAAAATAAAATAAATAATACCTTATTTCTTAACGACTGCATTGGCTGTACAATGGATGTTAGTCTTTGATACTTATATTTTAAAGTGTGTTGATGGAATGCGATTGATTTTTCCGTTCTGCTCATGATTTAGTGGTGATCATGGTAATGGTGCTGTTTTGGTTCTAATGTTCAACCGATTTAGTTGAAGTCTTATACTTTTATTGATTTATTATGGTTACACGACTGATTAGTGTGCTGGTATGGTATTGGAGTAGTAATGCATTCCATAATAGATAAGTTTATGTGATGGAAAACACACTGTGATACACAGTGATATAAACAGTGTATTGCAGCATATAATGACTGTATCACTGTGTATATTATAACCAAGTAAATTTATCTAATATGGAATTCTATACTACTGCGGTGTTCAAATTCTATTTTTATATTATATAGTACCTCTTCATGCTGTGTGCATTCGTGTAATATTGGTATTGATGACATTATTATTATTGTTACCTTGGGTTCTTATTGGGAAATAGAGCTTCAACAATACATTTCCACTTTGTTCTATTTTCTGATAGCCTCTCCAGCTGGGAACACTATTTCCCGTAATCTCTAATCGCTTCCTCACCACACGATCTATTCCATGTCACCTTCGAAATCACGCCCAACTTGTCGTTTCCCATTCGGGTTCCACTCGAGCGATGGCCTAGCAGGCGCGCATTGTCATTCGATGGTCTCCTCAGTGGCGTGTATCCAATCCATCTGCATTTTCTTCCACATAGTTTTTATGCAATTGGTTCTTGGTCAGTTTGTTCCCATAGGTTCTTGTTGATAATTCTTTCTGGACACCCAATCTTCAATAAAGAACGAAGGTAGCTGTTGATCCAAATCTGCAGTGGCCTGTTGGAAATGCTTTCCGTGACGCGCACTGAAAGTTCCTGACTCACATAGAAGAAGTGACTGACTTAATATTTGTGTTGGAGACCGGAATTTTGTTCTTTGTGTTGAGTACTAAGATTTCCAAACCGATTTTAGATTGATGAAGGTGTGTCTTGCCTTTCCTATTCTGACTGGCCTTGATATCCTCATTCATGCCGACTATGTTTAGTTAAAACGATGCTTCCTAGACAGATAAGTGAAGGAAGTGACCATTTTCGAGTTTCTCCCGTTGATGGTGATTGGTTCTGGTTGTTGCTGTTGTTGTTGATTGGTTATTTTCATCACTTCTGTCTTCTCTATGTTCACCTGGAGTCCCGTCTTCACTGCTTCTTCACATGTGTGCGTCGGTGGCACAGCGGTTAGGACGCTCGCCGACCATGCACATGGTCTGGGGTTCGATCCCCTGCCGACGCACGCCTGATATCAATGGTCGGCCTGCAAAATTCGGGCTACCGATATCACATGCTGAAAATTTCATACTTGTATCAAAAATACTATATGGAGTCAAGCTATAATAAAATAAAATAAATGTTGATGATAGTGTTGTTGTTATTATTATTATCATTGACATTGCTGTCGTAGGTATGATTACAAACCTCAGTAGTAGAGTAGAGCTTTTTGATTTGACACTAGTAACTAGTGTGATGCGTCTAGTCCTTTCTTTGGTGCAGACTGAATTCTATCAGTCAGGTTGTAATGTGGCCACCATTCTAGGTAGCTCGCCATCACGGTGTACATTGTTTGTGATGATATTAGATGGTTGGAGGCAATCGGCCACAGGAAGCCTTGGACCTAGGTTTCGTGCTAGTTGGCACTCTTCAGCAAGGCGTATCTGCAACCTTGAAGCAACTCATGTCCCTTCTGAGATTCGAACCCGCGTCAACCAGTGCTGCAGTCAGAGACGTTACCACTGAGCTACTCGGGCTCGCGACTGACCTTCTGTAGGACTGTAGTGGATATTTTGATTTGACACTAGTAACTAGTGTGATGCGTCTAGTCCTCTCTTTGGTGCAGACTGAATCTCAGAAGGGACATAGGTCCCTTCAAGGTTGCAGATACGCCTTGCTGAAGAGTGCCAACTAGCACGAAACCTAGGTCCAAGGCTTCCTGCCGATTGCCTCCAACCATCTAATATCATCAGAGTAGAGCTTTATTATGTTTCTTTTATCATACTGATGTAAGTCAGCGTTGATGTGTTTCTACAAGGTTATTTGTGTGACTGTACCTGTTTTCGTGTGTGTGTGTGTGTGCGCGTGTGGGGGGCCATACTGATGATTGGCAAATCTGTTGAAATGTATTGACATGGTTGTGTATGGATTGAGGACAGTTGCAGACTTTTGTTTTGTAGTGTCTAGCCCTCCAAACTTTGAATTCAGCTACCAGAATTCGAGTCTCCTTGGTGCCATTCATCCCTTTGGAGACTTAAGCTGCATCGACTGTTTTTTTCTTATCAAAAGTCATTTAATAACAACTAGACAGCGTGTACTTGATTGACACCCAACCCTGATGGAAATCATAACAAGCGAATTCTACAACAGTAGATTCCTAGGGATGAACCACCACTCTTTACAGAGACGTATAATGTATGCTGCATTACATTTGAACGAAATGTAATTCAAGAGAAAGATCATGTATGAGGAGGTGATAGGACGAATCCTCAGTAATATGCAGCCACCGGGATTTGAATCCAGGACCTTCCAGTTACAGAGCAAGCTCGTAGACCATTCAACAATCGGGACCTGATCAAATGGCCCATGAATCCCAACTTCTGCCAAATTGGTGATGTTATCACGACCACTAGCCAATATCTTCACGCCCTCCTTGGAAGCCCTACTGATCACGACTTCTCACTAAAACTCCAGGTAACTTCACCCTGTAGCTAGTCATTAGCGGGCATTGGTTGGTGGTGCTAGGGCAAAAATCATAAATTGATAGAAGTTCGAATTCACCGGCTGTTAGGTCGAGTCCTAGTGGCTGGCTGAATGGTCTACTATCTCACCTTGTAATCGGATGGTCCTGGATTCGAATTCTGGTGGGTGTGCACTAGTGAAGAGTCCCAATCTAGGAGGAAACAGGTGCCTAGTACTCCCTGGTTTCTGATGGTTCTCTAACTGATATCAATCAGTGGTCAACTTTGAAAAAAAGCAAATCCTTACAAAATAATTCTTAAAAATAAGATGAATAACTCTTATTTAGGATATAGGGATGATATATTTCTCAGTGTAATCGAATGATAACATGTAAGAATGACAATGTCACAAAACTTTTCTTTTGTAGTACTGTTTTACATTGTCCACTCTGTGCTGAAATAGCTTCATTTGTGAATAGTCCTGTTCTTATTAGTCTCAACACATTTTTACCACTATTTACGCTAGAATTTTGATGAGTTACTTCAGAAATGCTCATAAGTAGTATATGTAGGACATATTTTACACAACAAAATGTAAAATGTTTGCAATA